CTGCCACAATGCCCAGATATTTTTTTGGTTTTAGTTGTTATTGTTGTTTGGCAGGCTGGGCTGGATTCGAATCCACCAGCTCTGGTGTGTATGTGGCTGGCGCCTTAGTTGCTTGAGCTACAGGCTCTGAGCCTTTTTTTTTTTTTTAAGAGACAGAGTCTCACTTTATTGACCTGGGTAGAGTGCTATAGCATCATAGCTCACAGCAACCTCCAACATGTGGGCTTAGGCAGTTCTCTTGTCTCAGCCTCCCACGTAGCTGGGACTACAGGTGCCTGCCACAATGCTTGGCTATTTTTTTGTTGTTGTTGCAGTTTGATCAGGGCCAGGTTCAAACCTGCCACACTTAGTGTATGGTGCCGGTGCCCTTACCCACTGAGCCACAGGCGCCACCCTGCTCTTTTTTTTGAGACAGAGTCTTACTTTGTTGCCCTTGGTAGAGTGCCATGGCGTTATAGCTCACAGTAACTTCTTGGGCTCAAGTAATCCTCTTGCCTTATCTTCCCAAGTAGCTGGGAATACAGGAGCCTACCACAGCGCCCGGCTAGTTTTAGAGACAGGTCTCGCTTTTGCTCGGGCTGGTCTTTTTTTTTGGCCGGGGCTGGGTTTGAACTTGCCACCTCTGGCATATGGGGCTGGTGCCCTACCCTTTTGAGCCACAGGCGCCACCCCTCGGGCTAGTCTTGAACTCATAAGCTCAAGCAATCCACCTGCCTTGGCCTCCCAGAGTGCTGGGATTATAGGCGTGAGCCACCTTGCTCAGCTGTATTAGTCTTATTTCTTAAGTGCTCACTGCCAGTGTGCCAGAAGCTGTGCTCTGCATCCTGCACTTCCAGTCTCCTCTGATCCTTTCATCAGCCTTAGGAAATAGATACCAATACAATCCCTTTTTTCTAGATGAGTAAACTAAGGGTGAGGAAGGTGAAGTGACTTGCTTAAGACTAGACTGTCTAGCTAGAAGGTAGCCAAGTCACTATTGAAGGCCAGATCCAAGCCCACTTTACTAGGGGCTGAATCTGAATGTTCAAGGTTGGAAGAAATTGGAAGACTGGTTGCTCAGGAGTGTGAGTTGGGGCTGGGTTGAGCTGGATTGGGCAGGTGGGCTGGCTTCCTCTGAAAAGTAAGCAAACACAGAGGCAGGCAGGTGGCCCCAGAAGGTACCTGAAGTTACTGCATATCGGGGGTAGAAAGAAAAAGGGATCACACCGCCCCTTCACCCCTTGCTATGCAGAAAGCTGATGGGACCTGTAATACCAACTTCAAGAAGACCCAGGCGCTGGACCAGGTGACAAAAGTGTTGGAGGACTTCGTGAATGGGGATCGTGAAATCCTGGTAAGTGGGATAGCCCATGTCCTAACACATAGCAGCGTAAGACAGCCTCCATCTATTGTTGCTCCCTAGTCAATGTTCTTGCTTTAGGTGGGGCTTGTCTGAGAGCAGCTGGCTTTGCTCACACAATCTAGGGTCACCTGGTGGCTTGGCTCATGTGTGGTTGGCTTGTGATATTGGATCATGACATCTCTCATGATCTAGCAGCTTGGCCTGGGCCCACTCTCACATGGAAGCAGGGGGCCAAGAGAACAAATGAAAATGCAAGGCACCCTGATGGCTGGGCTCAGAATAGCCACTGTCTGGCGGCATCTGTGGCTCAGTCAGTAGGACACCGGCTCCATATACCAAGGGTGGCAGGTTCAAACCTGGCCCCGGCCAAACTGCAACAAAAAAATAGCTGGGGGTTCTGGTGGGTGCCTGTAGTCCCAGCTACTCGGGAGGCTGAGGCAAGAGAATCGCCTAAGCCCAAGAGCTATGAGCTGTGACACCATGGCACTCTACCAAGGGTGACAAAGTGAGACTGTCTCTAAAAAAAAAGAGGGTGGCACCTGTGGCTCAGCAAGTAGGGTGCTGGTGCCATATACTGAGGGTAGTGGGTTCAAACGTGGCCCCAGCCAAACTGCAACAAAAAGCCAGGCGTTGTGGCGGGCGCCTGTAGTCCCAGCTACTCAGGAGGCAAGAGAATCACCTAAGCCCAAGAGCTGGAGGTTGCTGTGAGCTGTGATGCCATGGTACTCTACCAAGGGTGACAAAATGAGACTCTGTCTCTAAAAAAAAAGTAAAAAAGAATAGCCACTGTCATTTCTCCCACATCTATTGGCTACAGCAGGTCATGTGACCAAATGGATTAAAGGGGAAAGGAGATAGACTCTACCTCTTCATAGGTTTGGGTATTCACATAATCCACCTTCTGTGCCTCCTGGATGAATTCACCTCCTCACTCCCCTCGCTCCCCATTTTCCCCAGGAGGGCTCCCCACATCCCATCCTGGCTGGAGTCTGCCCTCTCCTTTGGGTTGAGGCCACAGCTCAAGGGTGACAGCCTTACAGTGTCCATGCTAACCAAGGAACATTCCCTCTCACACACAGAGAAAGTATGTGGCACGCCTGGAAGAACTTCGTGAAGCACTGGAGAACTCCCCTTTCTTCAAGACTCATGAGGTGTGAGCCCCAGCCACCAAGGGTATTTGTGGGGGGCTTCAGGGTCCACATAGCATGGAGAGGAGACTGTTGACAAGAATTATGGGCCAAATCTATAAAAAGGAGGCCCTACATTTGGGGTCCCAGCTAAGGGAGTTTCAGGGAGCTGTGACAATTGGGAGCATGGATTTAAGCCTAGGTGGCCTGGGGAATGAAGGCTCACCCTGCTATGTGACCTTGGACACGAGATGTATCCTTTTAGGCCTCAATTTCCTCCTCTCAGATATGGGGAAGAACATTAGTACCTCCTTCATAGGCTGTTGAGGTGCAAAACTGTAAGGTAACGTTGGATCTCAAAAGTGTATTTAACTCCTACCTCAGCTGGGTGCAGTGGCTCATGCCTGTAATCACAGCACTTGGGAGGTCAAAAGCCTGAGCTCACAGGTTCAAGACCATCCTGAGCCCAGAGCGAGACCCCGTCTCTAAAAATAGCCTGGCGTTGTAGTAGGCACCTGTGGTCCCAGCTACTTGGGAGGCTGAGGCAAGAGGATAACTTGAGCCCAAGAGTTTGAGGTTACTGTGAGCTAAGAGGCCCCAGCACTCTATCCAGGGCAACATAGTGAGACTCTGTCTCAAAACAAACAAAACCCCCCCAAAACTCCTACCTCTTATAATTGTATAATTATTTGCAATATTGTTATTTGCCTCCTTGTTTACTGGCTCTTGCCCCTCCCTTTCCCCTGACCTCCCAGCCCAGGTCTCATAGGCAACATTCATCTCTCCGAGGCTGTGTGGGAGAGTCTCAAGTGGTGGCATCCTCCCCTCTCTCCAGGCTCTCTGTCTCCCCCTTCAGCTCCTCTCCTTACTGAGATTGCTGACTTTTCTGAAAGGGCAAAGATTAGGGAGTCAGGCTGACCCAAGTTCAAATCCCACCTACCTCTGCCCTGCCCTAGCCATCTGCACCTGGGCAGCCATTCTAGGCAGCTTCAGTCTCCTAGAATGGAGTGACACAGCATCTGCCTGTGAGGTGCTATGAAGGTTAAATGTGTCCAAATAGTTAAAGCCTGGCCTATAACAAACCATGGGTATGTGATAGCTGTTACTGTCACTGTTTTGGGGGGGTAGTTTGAGACAGAGTGTCACTTTGTCACCCTCGGTAGAATGCTATGGCATCATAGCTCACAGCAACTTCAAACTCTTGGGCTCAAGCTATTCTTTGCCTCAGCCTCCCAAGTAGCTGGGACTATAGGCGCCCACCACAATGCCCAGGTATTTTTTTGCTGTAGTTGCCGTTGTTTTAGCAGGCCGGGCTGGGTTTGAACCTGCCATTCCCAGTGTATGTCAGCCCTAACCACTGAACTATGGGCACTGAGCCACTGTCACTGTTTGCTTTTATCAAATGTCCCTTTCAGCATCCTTGTCACTGATTTCACACTTTGTGGAAATCACAAAAATTTGGGAGTCCCCCTCTCTTCTGTCCTGTGTTTGCTTTCACCTGTCTGGTGACTTTCCATTTTAAAAGCTGAGTTGCCATGGCTCAGTGCCCGTAGCACAGTGGTTACGGCGCCAGCCACATACATGGAGGGTGGCAGGTTTGAACCCACCCAGGCCAGCTAATCAACTGCAATAAAAAAATAGCCAGGTGTTGTGGCAGATGCCTATAATCCCAACTACTTGGGAGGCAGAGGCAAGAGAATCGCTTTTAAGCCCAAGAGTTTGAGGTTGCTGTGAGCTGTGATGCCACAGCACTTTATTGAGGGTGACATAGTGAGACTCTATCTCAAAAACAAAAACAAAACAAACCAAACAAAAAACTGAGTTTGCCACCATTTAAAATGTGAGACTTGGCTCGGCACCTGTGGCTCAAGTGGCTAAGGCGCCAGCCACATACACTTAAGGTGGCAGGTTCGAATCCAGCCCAGCCCACCAAACAACAATGGCAGCTGCAACCAAAAAATAGCCAGGCGTTGTGGCAGGGGCCTGTAGTCCTAGCTACTTGGGAGGCTGAGGCAGGAGACTCACTTGAGCCCAGGAGTTAGAGGTTGCTGTGAGCTGTGATGTCATGGCACTCTACCTAGGGGGACAGCTTGAGGCTCTGTCTTTAAAAAAAAAAAAAAGTGAGACTTCACATGCCAGGTGCAGTGGCTCATGCCTGTAATCCTAACACTTTTCGGAGGCCAAGGCGGGAAGACAGATTGAGCTCAGGGGTTTGAGACCAGCCTGAATAAAAGCGAGACCCCCATCTCTACTAAAATTAGAAACAACTAGCTGGCGTTGTGGCAGGCACCTGTAGTCCCAGCTGCTCAGGTGGCTGAGGCAAGAGGATTGTTCAAGCCCAAGAGTTTGAGGTTGCTGTGAGCAAGAATGGCACCATAGTATTCTACCCAGGGTATGGAGTGAGACTTTCTCCAAAAAATAAATAAGTAAATTAAAAATAAAATAGGACACTTCATATCCAAAGTGAGATTTCTAGTTTCCCTTGACAGCATGGGAGACTAGCACCACTGGGCTCTTGCCAAATGCCAGTGGCCATCTCAAGCTGGGCAGTGTTGGCCTCTTCTGACAGGTACCTGCTCACCTGTCCGCTAATCTAGAACTTCTGGGTTCAGTGATATTTCGAAACTGACTTAGAGGGCAGCGTCTGTGGCTCAGTGAGTAGGGTGCCGGCCCCACATACTGAGGGTGGTGGGTTCAAACCTAGCCCCGGCCGAACTGCAACAAAAAAATAGCAGGGCATTGTGGTGGGCGCCTGTAGTCCACCTGTAGCCTGTAGGAGGCTAAAGCAAGAGAATCACCTAAACCCAGGAGGTGGAGGTTGCTGTGAGCTGTGACACCATGGCACTCTACCAGGGGCAATAAAGTGAGACTCTATCTCTAAACAAAAACAAAGACAAAAAAAACTAACTTAGAAAACTGGAGGTACAGATAAATCTAGACTTAGATGAAGGGAAAACAAAGAGAGGGCTTACTGTGTGCCAAGCACTGCGAGGCATTTGTGGAATGTGTGATCATGGAGGGCTGCCAGCCCTGCCTGGAGGTGAGGGCTGGAACCATTATCCCCCTTCTACAGACAAGGAAACTGAGGCCCAGAGAAAGGATGCCACTTGCCTGAGGTCATCAACAGCAGTAGACGAGGCCTGAGAACTTGTGGTCCCTTTCTAGGGGAAGGCATTACCCAGTTCTTTAGTCCATACAGGGCTCTCTTTTCTTTTTTTTGGAGATAGTCTCACTTTGTCACCCTTGGTAGAATGCCATGGTGCCATAGCTCATAGTAAACTCAAACTCTTGGGCTCAAGTGATTCTCTTGCCTCAGCCGCCCGAGTAGCTGGATCTACAGGCGCCCACCACAGTGCCTGGCCATTTTTAGGGATGAGGTCTTGCTTTGGCTCAGACTGGTCTCAAAACTGTGAGCTCAGGCAATCCACCCGCCTTGGCGTCCCAGAGTGAGCCACTGCACCCGGTATACAGGGCTCTCTTAACTCATTTGGGGTTCTGAAGGCATTTGGATGTGCACATTGGCTTATAAAAAGGAAAACATTTCTTGGATATTTGCCTTGTACCAGGAACAGTTTTAAGTGTTTTAATTTATCTATGTAATATGTCCAGCAACTTTTGAAGTAAATGCTACCACAATAGCATTGGACGTGTCCCAAGACCCCCCAGTGGATAACTGAAACTGTGGATAGTACTGAACCCTACATACACTTTTTTTTTTTTTTAGAGACAGAGTCTTACTTTATTGCCCTCGGTAGAGTGCCATGGTGTCACACAGCTCCCAGCAACCTCCAACTCTTGGGCTTAGGCGATTCTCTTGCCTCAGCCTCCTAAGCAGCTGGGATTTCAGGTGTCCGCCACATCTCCTGGCTATTTTTTGTTGCAATTTGGCCGAGGCTGGGTTCGAACCTGCCACCCTTGGTATATGGGGCTGATGCCCTACCCACTGAGCCGCAGGCGCTGCTCACACTGTGTTTTCTTGATCTGATAACCAAGATGGCCACTAAATGACTAGCTGGTATATGCTGGACAAAGGGATGATTCATGTCCCAGGTGGAACAGAGCAGGATGTTGCGAAATTTCATCATGCTAGTTAGAGTAGCATACAACTTAAAACTTATGAATTTATTTCTGGAATTTCCCATTTCACATTTTTTAGACTGTAGTTGATCAAGGGGAGTTGAAGCTGTGGAAAGTAAACCCACAGACTGAGGGAATTACTGCATTGTTTTCACTTTGTATATGAAGACGCAGAGCCACAGAAAGGTTAAGACATCTGCTCAGGCTGCACAGCCAGAAAGTGGAGAGCCAGAATTTGAACTCAGGCTGCCTGGCTGTGTTTCATACTGTTACTGCACCTAACCTCCAGTTTCTTCCCCTGTAGGTGGTGGGCAGCTCTCTCCTCTTTGTACATGACCACACTGGCCTGGCTAAGGTCTGGATGATTGACTTTGGCAAGACAGTGGCCCTGTCTGACCACCAGACGCTCAGCCACAGGCTGCCCTGGGCTGAGGGCAACCGTGAAGATGGCTATCTCTGGGGCTTGGACAACATGATCTGCCTCCTTCAGGGTCTGGCCCGAAGTTGATCCACTTAGCCACCTCCAGGATTATTAATTAGATGGTACCAGTCTGGCAGGAGTAGCCCTGGAATGCCACGGGGGCTTGAGGGCAACTAGGGAACTGATCTCCAAGGATGGAAAAGGTCATGTCATACGCCACACAAGACCAATGCTGAAAGGCATTGGGAGACCAGGTAGCTTCTGGTCCCTTCATGATATAGGGGCTGGAAGGACCCTGGAGAGGGCATGATGAGGCTTATATGGTGAATTAGCAGAATGAGTCCCTTGATCAGCTAGGAAGGTTTCTGAAGGGCTGCTGGAGGCCACAGCTAAACCATACTGCCTTGAGAAGACACAGTTAAATCCATAGGGCATGGTGTGACACCTTGCTTATGACTATGTAACTTGTGACCTGCCTCCTTGTCAGCTCCCTCCTGGTGGCAAGCTGGCTCCCTAAGGCCAAGGAGTGGGTCAGATTCATCTTTGGTGTCCCAGAAGGATCAGGCATCATTTGTGAACACATGCAGGAGCCATTTGTCTGCCCAAGGAGAGCAACAGCCCAACTTCATCTTGGGAGTCATTCAAGGCCTAAGTAGCAGAGGCTCTGACACCATGGGACTGACGATGCCCAGGGGCAGATGGTGCTGGATGTGGCACAGTTCACTGCTGTTTTGCCCCACCATGCCCATGACCCAGCTCCTCAGAGAGCTCTGTTGACTCCTGCAGACCCACACCACAGCCACTTCCCAGCACCTGTGCCAGCACTGTGACAAGGACAACTTCAATCCTTTCCACAGCAGATCTTGCCTCAGGACTTCCTCCTTCTGCCCCCACCCTTGGCCTTTCTGGCTCCTTCCTCTTAGCAAACTGCCATGGCAAAAAGGTTCAGAAGCAGGAGAGCAGGTGTCCTGTGCCTCAGAGCTGCCTTGCTCTCAGGGGTACCTCTGCAGTGAAATG